TCTCCTTTCCTCTCTCTGAAATCAATAAAGATATATTTAAAAAAAGGAAAAAAAGATTAGAAAACAAAGGGTGACTAAGTACCAGGGCAAACTAAAGATCTGTGATGACTAAATTCTAGGAGAAAAACTGGAAAGTTGTATTATTACATGTAACCATGTCTTTTGAGATATAATCAGAGAGGCAGAAATAGTCTCTCTAGTCACCATGAAGGTATAGATACCAGGAATAATTCAACAGGTTTAACCCTGGCCTAGATAAACCTAAATATTTGATTGTATGCTAGTAACACAGTTCTGAAACAATCCAGTTTCTCACCCACTCCCACCAAGAGTGAGGAGTCATAAATAAGTAAGAAAAAGCTATGTAGAAGTATGTCCTCCAATATAAAATAGAACGCCACTAGGTAAAGTAATAAAAGCAAGAATTTCCAGCATGCAAAGTAAAGTATCAGACTTCTAGAAGTGACCTAACAAGGCACTCTACAAATAAGAGTGGCATAAAACAGTCAAACCAGTCTTAATCTTGTGATGCTGATCCCTATCATATTCTGGATCAACAGTTGCAAACCATAATTGTACCAAACCTCCTCCACGCATAAAAGCAACATATATGAAAGCAACATTATGTACTTCAAATTTTGCAAATCTAAAAAAATTAAAAGCCCTTATAAAACCTTCAACTCTCTCATGCAAGTACAAGTGCTACAATTAGTTTTTGTCCTAGAAGAAATAATATGAATCTACTTCAAAAGGAGATAGGTTGCTGGTTTATTAAAAAGTTATAAAGCCCACGGAAGTAAAGCACAGGAAGAGGATAAGTGCAGTGGGTCACACAGGAAATCCCCGGAGGGGCTGAACAGTGGACAGATGTATTCAGACCATGAGGCATCAGTTTCCTTTATGAATAGGATATGAGGAGACTTGGATTAAGTATGACCCTAAAGTTTCTCCATAAAAGGAGTCTTGTTTCTGTGTTTTGTGGTCTTAAACTATTATTTGAAAAAAATTTTCACAAATTAATAAAACCAGCATTTATTGAGTACCAACTTCGTGTTCAGGCACTGGGGAATCAAAAAATAAATCTGTATCCTTGAGGAATACATTTAGCAGAAAACAAACCAAAAAAAGTTAACTTTCATGTTCAAAAAACAGTACTTTGGAATATTTTAACATCCTGTTTAAAAAAAAATCTAACCTGCAAGTTTCCAAACTATTAACTATCACTACTCTTTCCCTTTCCAAATGTTTTCAAGTTCAGTTTTTTGGAAGAAGAAAAACAAAACAAAAAACCCCAGCTCAGTTGAGGAATAAGTTAGGGACAAAGTAGAGGGGACACACTGGCCCAGAAGTGTTTCTCAAGTTGTAATCATTTGTGTCAGATAAATAGGCATACCATAGTCCCAGGCTGCTTTTGCAGTGTGGTTTCAGGGCTGCCAACATCAGAAGCAGATAAGGAACTTGAAAAAGAATGTAATTTTAGTGCCCACCTCCCCTCTGTTGAAGTTTGAATTCATTTGGGACTGAGTGAGAATCTGCACTACAAAACAAATCAATTGTGTGCACTGAAGGTTTGAAGACCCCTAACCTAAGGAAGGGCCTCATATTCTATGGAAAATTTTTAAACAACTTTTAAAAATATAATTGAAATCTGTAAGATGCTATATTAGCACATAAAAAGTATTTAAGTGTTAAAATGTCTATTAGTTTATACTTCATCAATATAAAACTTAACTTTGTGATGGTTTCTCAGGATATGATACTTTGGGCCTCCTCTGATGTTTTTCCAAAAATGAAAACTTGGGGGCCTGAAATTTAGGGCTGTTTTTCATTAACATCAGAGATAGTCCTATCACCATTATGATCTCATGAAATCCCACTTTCCTAAAATTCATTATGCATTCTCTTTTGAAATAAACTAGTCAATACTTGCTTTCAACACACTGTCCAAAGAAGATTTATCTTTAATATGGGCTTGTTGGATTTAGCTCACAGCTAGGTTCAGCTTAAGTATAGAAATAGGTAAAATAAAGCAAGCGGGGGGGGGGG